TGCTTAACAGCGGCCTTTGTGGATAGGGCTTAGGCAGTCCTGGACTGGGTGACCAATGCATGTTAGCCCATGATGGGCTCCTCAGATAGATAGCTCTAGGGGTGAGAGCCCCAGAAACAGAGCCCAGAGCTCTAGCGAGTCCCCCACGTGTAGACCACTGTGCACTGTGCTGGGCATGGCATGGCATAAGGCAGCATAGCCAGAGGCAAGGGCCTGACAGCACAGTGGTGAGAGAACCTTGCAGGGAGACGTGCTGCCTGCCAAGTCCTTTCTCTTCCAGCCTCTACCTCTCTGAACCATCACTTTCCCTGTCCTTTGCCAGTACCACACCTCCCCATCTGCTTCCTTCAGCTGCCCCCACCCTACAAGACCTCTATGCCAAGTAAGTTCAGCTCCCTCTGTGTCCTGGCTGCTAGGCATTGCCGTGAAGAAAAAGACCATCCAGCTCTTTGGTTTGGTGCAGGTATAGAATAAGTGGTCTCTAACCCCTCAGGCTGGGAGACAGGTGGGCAGTCCCCCTATGGTACCCGTACCTTCTCTGATATCTACACTAACCGCCCTCCCTCTGAACACCTGCCTTCTGCCTTCTCCTTCCATATTTAATGTCTTCGGAGACAGAAGCAGTAGAAACTCAGCCTTCCTGTTGACAGGTGCATCCAGCCTGCACGCCTTCCTTCCTGCCTCCAAGAACATCTCCCTCCTTCATCGAAGATGTTCCTTGACTCTCAGAACACTGTTGCTTCTTTCCTGACTGTGGTGGTCACGGTCTTCATTCCCCTCCTTTAGCCACTACGTCTCTACAGCCTTTCCTCACTAGGTGCAAACTTCCCCTTTCTTTAATGAATACCTCTTAGATCCTTAACAACCATCTTGCTTGAAAAAAGAAATGTCTCTAGTGGCTGTCCCTGCTTCATTTGTCCTCACCACTTCCTCAGTGTGCCAGGCTGACTGATTCCTGCGCCCTCTCCTCCAGTGAAGTGCCCGTACTCTCTCCCCTGAGAGCTTCCCAAGGTGGCAGGGTGACCAGCTTTCTCCTGTGAGACAGTATTGTCCTGGCTTCTACCACTGCTCTCCTGGTTCTCGTTCTACTTCTCAGGCCAGTACTTAGTCTTAATTGTCCCTCTAGGGTTTCCTGAATTCCTCTCCATGGAGGCCTTTGATTAATTTTTGTAGTAATCTTTATATGCCTTCTCCTCTTTTTGATTGAGTTTTGTGCTTTGCCTCTTGCCTCTTGACGTTCTCCTCTCCCCTCCCTGGTGATCTGAAGGGTGTCAAGCTCAGCCAGCACCTGCCTGCTGCTGATCCCTACAGCTGCACCTTCAGCTCCACCCTCCTTTGAGCTCCGGACTCACACTCCCAGTGCCTGCCTTCTGTGTCCTTCTGAACTCCTCACCTCCGTTACACCTGCTGCTCCTCCTCTGTCCCCTCGGTTGGCCAACAGCACTCCTACTCAACCAGCCATGGCCTGAAATGAGAAATCTGGGCTTGTCTCTTGTCACTCTATAGCTCCTTATATTAACACGTGGGAGGTTTGCAACTACAATGTCTGCACGATGAAATGCACAAAATATTTCAATGACTTTCTTTTTTTTTATTTTAGGGAAGGGTCTACAGGGTGCTCAGGGTCTCACTACTAGATCAGACTCATAGTGGTCCGCCTATTTACAGCCTCCCAAGAGCTGGGATTACAGGCACGTGCCACCACGCCCAGTCTCAATTGCCATCTCAGCATGCCCCGGGGGCAGGGCCGGCACAGCAGGCCCAGGGATCAAACCTCCAGCCCCTGCACCTGCTTGCAGGTGCTTTAATCTGCTGAGCTATGTGGCCGGCCCTTTAATGGTTTTCTTGTACAGGGTCACCAAGCCTCATTTCTGGCCCCAGAACCAGAGGAAGGCTGGAGCATGAAAGTGAAGTGAAAGAGTAGCAGCACATGTTGGGGGATGTTCTGTCCTTTACACCAGCCTCAAGGTGACGCAGGCTGCACTGAGAGACCATGCGGGTCCCTCTCCTGCAGGAAGACTGACACCATAAGATCAGGTGGCATCACTTTTAACAACTTTACCAACCTGAGAGTTTATTCAGCAGCTAATAAATCCCTCGATCTATTTTGTCTACATCATTTCACTTAGGCTTCCTACTAGATTTTGGCTCCATTTGTGGAGGAGGAACCAGAAACTCAGAGTGTCAGGCAGTTTTTTGTAGCTGTTCCAGCTGGGTAGAGACTTCGATCAGAGTCTCGGGATCCCCGAAGCCTACTTTTTTTCTTTCTTTTTTTTTTTTTTTTTTAAGCACGCCCTTGCCTTCCATTTAGCATTGGAAACCTACTTCAGAAGCATGCAGTCAGCTGTGTACCACATTGGTACAATTAAACCTTTGAGGATAATAGAAAGGAGCAATTCTTTGACTGAGAGCTTAAATTCAGAGCCCAGGCTCTCCTTAAGTCTGCTCCTTTATTAGCATATTACAGCTTCTCTCCATTTCTACTAATGCCAAGTACAATATTCTTTAGAGGCCACTGCCTCCAGTTTCCAGGAGGTCTGGAAAGAAACGAGTGGGAAAGGGTTAATGCTTCCCTATACTCAAAACAGTTTTTAATTAAATGCAGGTCCTCATTTCAGAGGCTCCTCCTGCTGTTCAAATAGCAGCCACCTTCATAAAGAAGGCTGAGGGGTCGGCGCTGGCTCCGGAAGAAAGGGGGATGCCAGGTATTGGGAGGACTTGAATACATGCAAATATTTGCTATATATATATATATATATATATATATATATATATATATATATATATATTGCCTCCAACACACTCTTCTGGTAGAAACCAACCTTCTGGTTAACCCAGCAGATAAGCATCACCGTGGGGAAGCGGTCAGCCTAGGATACTCACCTGGTAGAAAGAAGTCCAAGGGGACAGGTGAGGCACCACCTGAAATCTAAGCTGCAGACTCCACTAGGGATGCCCTGAGAGTAGTTATTTTTATAGCACTCATTAGCAGTCCTCAGAAGCAAGGAGAGCCTATCCTCTTACGCACACCAAGCTATAGGATTGCTTTCTCCGTCTCTCACCTGACCCTGGCCTCATTGTTCAAACACCCAGAGAGCTTGCTCAGCGTGTGGGCTTGAGGGCCAGGCAGGACTGCAGTAATTAAAATCTACTAATCATTCCCAAGCCTAGAGACAGAAATATAAAGCTCCTTCATCCTCATTTTTTACTGAGAGGTCCAGAGGCAAAACTGTACTTCTTATAACTGTGGAAGGTGCAGAGTAAGAAAGGGAGGAGGGATCAGAAGCGAAGACCAGCGAGGTCTGATATCCCAGCCAGTACTGCATTCTGACCCATACCTTATCTCTCGCTAGTTTTGAGACCCTGGGGTTGGGGGGAGGAACAATTACAGTCAATAATTCCCGAGGTCTTTTTAGGAATATCCAATGCACAGTTGGAGAAGAAAATATCTGAACACACAGTTGGAGCTCCATAATCCACAGATTGCCTGTCTTATGGGATTTGGGGGCTGCTACAACAAAAAATACCATAACCTGGAAAGCTGGTGGAAAACTGAAGTTCATTTTTCACAGTTCTGGAGGCTGGGAAGGCCAAGATCAGGATGCGAGCAGATTTGGTATCTGGGGAGGGCTCACTCTGGTTTGTGGCCAGTACCTCAAGGGCAAAAGGGGAAAGCCAGCTCTATAGGGTCTCTGTGATAAGGGCACTAATCCAGTCACAAGGGCCCCACCCTTAGGACCCAGTCACTTCCCGAAAGGCCCCACCTGCTGATGCCATCAGCTTGGGCATTGGACTCCAGCATGAGACTGGGGACAGAGCAGACTTGCTGATGACGGCCCTTCCTGCTGCTTGAGGAAGCGGCCTTTCCTGCTGTCACTGCTGCAGGTTCCCTCACATGCACAGTAGCTTGGACCTCAGCTTCTGTCCTGGATGAATACATTTCTCTAAATTAAGCTACTCATAAAAAAATATCCTGTTTCTGTTAGGAATAAGTTCCATGAATATTAAATGACTTGCAAGACATAAAAAATTCAGTTTTCCTTCCACTGACAGTGATTTTTTTTCCCAAGCCTTTAGAGATCATCTATTCTAACCTCCAAGTTTCTAAATGAACATACCTGGTGCAGAGAGGCACGGTGGCTTTGTCAGGGTCATACAGGAGAGAGTCTCCTGTAGGATTTCTCCCCACTGCTCCATGGGCCAGGATACAGGTACCGCGTATTCAGTGTTTAAATACATATACAGTTTAATTTTGAAGAGAGTTATTTTTAGACAAGAGGTTGTTTCACCTTGCATTTTTTTTTTTTTAAGGAAAAGAAAATAAACAAGTGGACTAGATTTGTCCTCTTAAGCCAATTTAGGAAGCATGCGCATTCTGTGCTGTTGAAGTTGGCAGGCCGGCGTCGTGCAGACAGACTGTTCTGGTCTGCTCAGATAGTTGTTGTCCCGAACGCAAATCTGACTCACGGGTGAGATCATGAGAAATCTGGACTATTTTTCTTGATGACTTTTTCTTTCCTATTCCAGTTTTCTTTTGCGGTATTTGGTTCCATGTGATACCCACGCTGGCCAACAGAGCCTTGAAATGTTTGTTCCTAGGATGCTTACTGCTCTTGGATGAATCACAGGACAACAGGAACAAGTCTGACCATGGACTGTATGTGGCCTCGGTGGGGACATGTAGGGGAGGGGTGCGTTTGCATGAGCGAGTATGTGGTGGCATCCTGGCAAGGGGCCTTTCCACCCTGGCATTTGAGCTTCCCCAATGCAGCACTGTTCTCATTCAACAACTGTTCCCTCAACAGTCACCTTTGGCTATGTATTGGTGGCGCAGTGGTGACTCGGATCTATCATGGGAGGAGGGAGGTTATTTACAGTTAAATAAGTAAACAGTATGTAGGCTGTATAAAGCTAATGATAGCTGCAGTGACCACTGAGCCTTCGAGTTTTGGTGGAGATTTTTATTCACTTAACATGACAAAAAATTCTTTCTCCTCCAGCTAGCAGCAGCCCAGTGCAGGAGCGCTCCATCAGGTGCTGGCTCTCCTCTGCACGGTGATTCAGAGAAGAGGCTTTTTCCATCCTGCAGTGGCCTGAGCTCTTAGGGATGCAGGTACTCTGTCTGCCTCTAGCTGATGGGTGGGGAAGAGGTTTTGGGGAGAAGACACAGATGTTTATGAAATGTCTTGCATAGCAGGGGTTCACAACAACCTGTCACGTTTCAGTGCAGGCAACTGACCGTGTGGCCCCAGTCAGCTACAGTGGGGCTGGGAAGCAGAGCTGCAGTGGCTGTGCACCACCTAGCAGGGGAACGCCTGCAACTTTGGGAGTGCACAGAATTTCATGTTTGACTGCTGAGCTGGATGTTAAATTTTAGCAGGAGATGTATTCCACAGGCCCGTATGAGAGGCATCTGGCCTGGATATGGAGTCATCCTTCATTTTCTCTTTCCCTCTTCTCCCTGAGCTGGATTTCCACTCTCCAGCCCAGCTCCCCTGTGTGTCTTTACCCCATTGCACCACCTCTTCTGGGTCTGCCCTTATGTCCCACTTCACCTTGCCCTTCCTGTGGTGAAGACAGAAGCATTTCTCCCAAAGGCCTTTGCTTTGCTGGTCCCACAAATCCAGTTTGCAGGTACATGTCCTGCTCGTCTCCTTAGTCAAAGCAAGGAGACTTTTATTGATTGGGGTTTGAGAGGCAAGAGGAAGGCACTGATCAAATCTGCTCACCAAAGTCTTGCATGGCATAAACCTCAGCATTTAGAGAGCAGAGCGAGTCAAGGCAGGCCCAGGAACATGGAGTAAAAAGGAGGCCTGTGCAACCTTCCAGCAGCTGGGAGAGGGTGCTCCAGCACTCTGCAGGAGAAGAGGCTGCCCAGAGCTCCAGGCTGCCTGGGCTCAGGAGCCTACGCTTCCAGCAGTGGGTTTCGTGAGTTGTTTCTGAGAGTCTGCCTATGGAGAATAGGTGAGACGGTCTTCCGCACACACGCTGAAGGAGGAGTGGAACACTCCCGCGGGGGGCAGAGCTGTCCTTGGGAGCAGCGCCTCTCCTCTTCATCCAGGGAAGAGGAAGCGTCAGCTCTCCGGCCAGCTTCAGTCTCCACACTGCAGCTAGAGGGCGGAGCGTGGGATCCCCGGGGTCCACACTATCCTGGAATGCAGCTCCCCATTCCAACAGTCCCAGAATCTTATAAAGGAACACGGGGTTTTAATTTCTGACTATAAGAAATGAGCATGTTTCTCTTGTGGCTATACTTATCTCCTTATTCAAAAAAATATTTTCGTACTAATTATTTTTAATGGTCTCCAAGAAAAGTGCCTTTTGCAATTATTTTGACAAGTTCATACATGCACGGGGTCTGCTGATCCTGCATTTATGAGGTGGCGGCTGTTTTTACTGTTTAGGTTACCACTAGAGTCACCTAAAAATAGACCAGTGAACTGAGTACTGAAGGAAAACTTGGCAGGATGACCGAGGAAGGGGGTCGCACTCGCCCCTTTGGCTCTCGGCGTAGTGCTGTCTGTCTTTCTGCTACCTCGTGTCAATCTGAAGGCTGGATTTTCTGAAGCCACGGGCTGAGCTAATACGCCACAGGAGCATAGTTGTGGCGTATTTATTCTTGCAGGAATAAAGGGGGCAGAATTAGGGCAGAATGTCCAAGATGTGGGGTAAATCTGGAAGGTCAGGCAGAGTCCATCGGCATTAGCAGCCGTTCTCCGCCACCCACGCAGCCTGCCGGGATCTCCCACCTCAAGCCCACACTGCCATCAGGTACTGAAGGAACACCTGCTATGTGCCTTCTAGGCACGAAGGGTGGCGAGGGGAGTGAGATGTTCAAAGCCCTGGCCTGCATGGCCCTCACACTGTGGCAGGGGGAGGATGACCAGAAACAAGCCAACTATAGCAGACACAATGGGACTTCAGTAGGAGAAAGCACTTCTTAAGGGGGAGAAAAGGCTGCAGAGATGGCTCAGTGGCGTAAGCCCCTGCCTTGAAGGAAAAAAAAAAAAAAGGTTAAGAGTATGGAGGGGACTTTGCTAGCATATGGCCAGTGAAGGCTGCTCTGGAAAATGACATTTGAGCAGGATAAGGAGGTGTCAGTGAGGCATTGGAGGAAGGGGAGTTCCCGAGAGAGGATCGCAAGGGCCTTGAGAGGTGGTGCTCAGGGCTGGGAGAAAGGCAGGCTGTGTGTTCAGCGTGCTGCCGCAGTCCTTGCCTGTCCTCTCCAGCCCTGCAGCAGGCCCCCTCCCACTGCAGGAGTCCTCCCCAGGCCACAGGAGCCCCTGTCTGCCCTGCAGAAGCCCTGCCCCATCCTGGCATGCCCCTTAAGTACGGCTCCCCGAGCCTGGTTCACCAAAAGGCAGGGGCTTGTGGGGCTGATGCCTGCTGCAGAAGGGCAGGGTCTGGAGAGAGCGGCGGCCTCCCACAAATCACCTTGGGCTCACTGCTGTAGTCTCACACAGCTGCTCCTAGAGACCTATCCAGTCTTTACAGGAATTTGCCTTCTGGAATGAAGGAAGGAATTGACGAACACAAATAACTTGTGCTCCCCATTTAGAAAAAGCCACTTGGAAGTTGGCAGCTCTTCAGCCTCTACTTTTGCTTCCTCTAATCCGTGGTGCTGCCCACTGCAAGCAAGTGCTCCAGCCCAGAAGTGGGTTTTGACTTTCTGCACAGAGTTCTGGAGTCAGGGCAGGCTCGACCGCTGCTTGGGAAGCTCCTCAGGTCTTTCTCGTTAGCGGCTCTGTTGCTAATAAATCCTCTGCAATCTTCTGCCTTCGTCGGGGCCTTATGACATATTTGCCTGTCAGGATCATTTGGGTTTCGGAGTTTGGGTCTCCTGCTGTTCCTAATGTCATCAGCGGGTAGTGATAACCCAGGAGGAGATTACGTTCTGGGCTCGTGCGTAGATGAGCTTTAAAAACATCAATCTTATCTGCAGGCAAATATGGCTAATGATAGACTAGGGAAAATGAAATAATTCCAATTCTGCGGTGAGTGCTTGGCTGTTTCTAAAGAGCCTGCTTTTTAATGAAATGCGGTAGAGAATGAAGGACGAGGTAGGAAGGTAGAAATAGCTAGGGGAAAGGTAGGAGCAGGTAGGAATTCCTCATTATTTTCTGCTGTTGTTGCTGCTGCTGCTGCAATAACAATTAATGCCCCAATCATGGCAGGCACAGTACTGACCCCACTCAGAGGGGGCTGGAGCTGGACCACTTGTTCTCTACCTGCCTGTGTAAGGGAAAAACGCCTTTATCTCAAGGGATTTCCATGGGGGCCATTTTGCCCCAAGGGACATTGGCAGTGTCTGGAGAAATTTTATCACTGGGGACATCTAGTGAAGAGGCCAAATGCACCACTATATATAAGAGGTGATTAAAAACTGTGGTGAATGTTTACAATTTTAAAAATTTATTACAGAAAAAGACACACAGCCATTAGTCCCACTCCCAACACACTTGTCCCAGCCTTCTGGCCACTCTGCAGCAGCTCTGGAAGTCCTCTTTGGTGAGTGTCTTCATAAAATGTGATGGCAGATCAGACCAACACTGCCGAGCGCCCAGCCAGCAGAAAGGCAGGTGCGGGAACACGCTGCGGTGTGCTCCGCCCACCTTACTCCCCAGATCTGGCCTAGTGGAGCTTCTGGCTCTCTGCTTAAGTCAAAATGACCTTGAAAGGTGAACACTTTGAACAGACCTCAGAGGTCAAGGCAGCCATGACAGCACAACTAGAAACTATGCAGGACATCAGAACGGGTTCAGAAAGAGGCAGGAATGAGGAGATGGGCATGCCCACGGGAGGGGGTGTGTTATGAGGGAGACTGATGGCAGCGTCTTTTACTGTAATGAATTTTTTAATTTCAACATTCACCATACTTCTAGACCACACTTCACTGTGACAATGCATGGGACAGCCCCTGCCCCCAAAAAAGAAAGATACAGCCACCGCTGGCAGTAGTGGGCCGTCGAGCAGTGTCCACTACTGTGGGCTGGCATCCAGCGAGGACTGGCTCTCGCCCCCCTTCGCAGAGAGTGACTCTGTCTCCAGGTGAAGGCCTGAAGGGCGCCCTGGGAAGGAGCTAATACTAATCTAAATTCTACAAGTAGGACTTCAGACAGATCGCATGACTTTCCTAAACTCACACAGATTTTTTTGTAACAGAGGTGAGATCAATGAGCAGGAAAAAAACTGAGAACTTTTGCAAAAGAAGGACTTTGGAGGCCTTTATGACCTACTTTTTTTTTTTTTTTTTTTTTAATGTATTTACTACAGGGTCTACAGGATCTCACTACACAGATTGGATTCCTAGTGATCCTCTTGTTTTCAGCCTCTCAAGCTCTGGGATTATAGGCACGCGCCACCACACCCAGTCTCAATCACCATCTCAGCCCGCCCCAGGGGCAGGGACAGCGGGGCATGCTGGGGATCGAATTCCCTGTTGCTGAATCTGCCTAAGCAGGCGCTTCAGTTCGATGAGCTATCTGGCCAGCCCTATGCTCTGCTTTTGAATTATTACCTCATTCATGCCATAACTGTTTGTTGAGTGGTATGAAGCCAGCACTCTACTTCTATCACCTGAATGAACATAAAAGCTGCCTAAAGCATTCCATAAAATGATAATAATAATAATAATAATAATAATAATAGTGGAGAACACTTATTGACAGTTGATTTGGGGCAAGCACTATTGCCCCCCTCTCTACTCGCCTTTTATCTCAGCAAATCTTCCCCACCCCCTGCCAGCAGGTATAGTTATTCGTCCCATTTCATGGGTAACAAAACTGAAGCTTGAGGAGCAAGTGAGGTGAGAGAACTCTGAGCTTTGTTCTAATGCGTTCCAGAGCTGAGCTCCTCACCTGAACTCTCCTCTTTCCTACATAAAGACTAGAAATTAAATCGTGTCACAGGTAGGAGATGGTTGTTTTTAGTGTCTTGACCAAAACTGAAGGAGGAATATAGCTGTTTTCCAGCTTCTGTCACCCATGTCATGGGGGGTGGGGTTGCTAGGTTTTTTTGGACTCTTGAGGAATATCTGGACATTTATTTAACTTGTTATTTATTTGTTTTTTGAGCAACTCTTGTGCCAGGAAAGTGGCTAAGCACTTGGAAGGG